ATTACTTGTACCCTTACACTGTTTTGTTTTGTTCTATTTTTTCTCTTTTTCCTTTTAAATAAATAAAAAAATCATCAAAAAATAAAGTAAAATAAATGTTCAAAAAATCATCGAAAATAAAATAAAATAAATGTTCAAAAAAATAGAGAACACAAAAAAGGAGACAAATTTTTATGAAGAATATAAAAAAACATATAATACATGAAACAAACTCAAAGAGTATACCAGGAAATTAAAAACTCCATTGAAAGCTGGCAAAATTTCCTGAAAGAAACAAGAATTAGATTAAGAAAACATCAAGATACGTTTGCAATGCGTGATTGCAAAGAGAAAGATCTCTTAAAAATAACAAGGAAACAGGCAGTAGCAATAAAAGGCTAGAAGATGACAAGAGGATCTATAAATTAAGAATAAAAAACATGAGTGAAGAAGCAGGGGTAAACACAAAGGCAATACAAGGGCTATTGACAGAAATAATTAAGAAAAACTTCCCAAACATTGGAAAAGGAAATGATATTCAGATGTATGAGACATACAGAACTCCAGCCACCTACAACCAAAACAATCTACAACCAAGCATATAATAATCAAGATCCCAGAAATTTATCACAAGAACAGAATATTAAAAGCCATCAGAAAGAGGAAACAGATCACCTATAAAGGAAAACCCAACAAATTCATGACAGACTTCTAATCACAAACCATCAAATCAAGAAGAGTCTGGAGCAAAATATTACAAGTCATGAAGGAAAATAATCTCCAAACCAGACTGACGTACCCTGAAAAACTGTCCATCAAAGTTAATAGAGAAACAAAATGCTTCCATGACAAAGAGGAACTGGGGGAGTTTGTGACCAGGAATCCCCCCTTACAAAAAATACTGAAGAACATTCTAGAGAGGAAGGAAAAAACACCAGGATTTCAGGAACAGTGGCAGAGAGGCTTCAGTGAACAGGCAGATAGTGGAATGAAGGAGAAAAGTAGACAACCAATGGCAGAAAAAAGGCATAGCAGAAATGAGGCAGAGAAGGTTGGCTATAATCTCTAACATAGATGGCCTTGATACACTAACAAAAAGAAACACAGGCAGAGTAGATCAGGAGGTAGGGTCCATTGAGATGCTCTGTATAGGAAACATAATTAATCTGAAAGAAGGATTATGGACCAAAAGTCAAGTATGAGAAACAATGCTCTATGTGACAGGGAGCAAGAGAGAATAATGGGTAGCTCATCCAGCAGCTTAATATAGATTGGAAAGACATGTTTTGTGCAGTGCAGTACTACTCAGGTATAACGAAGGAAAACCTTGAAGCTTTTGTAGGTTAAAGAATACAACTTAAGATCAAGCCCAGGGTTAAAAAGATTCAGAACCACTTAGGTAAATAGCGGGTTGCCTCCCTAATCTACAAACTAAAGAAGTTTGTGGGACCCAAAATGTACAATGTACCCTGTGAAAGTGAAAGGGAAGGAATTGTCTAAAAAAAGAAAGCAGAGAACATTATTAATAATGTATCATGATTTAAAATCCATATTGTTCTTAGTTTGATTATATTCTGTTATATTCTGTTCCAGTCTGTCTATTTATACTAGACTTGAAGGCACAGATAGCTGTTTCAAAAATAGCAGGATATACTATGGTAACCATCCTTAATTTCCTATTAATTTAATCTGAAGACCTATATTACTTATACTGTTCTATTATGACTGCTCTTTTTTGAATCTGGTTTGGTAGATTGCTGTTTTGGATTGACTAATTTTATTCAAATCTGTTATGATTGATACTATCAAATCTGAGAGTATAGGCAAATATTCTGAAGATGACAAGATTTACTAGGATACCCACTCTGACTTGACTATAACCTGTTTTTGAAGCTTATAATGTCTCCATGTTTTATTTTTATTAATATTATTATGTACTGCTATGTTCAGTTATACTATGCCTGATGATATAGACAACTCTATTGAAGATAACAACAGACATCATAGTAACCATTGTGGATCACCTTGTGTTGTGGTTTTATATGGCTTTTTGTTTTGTGTTTTTCGAAGAATTTGTTTTGTCTTGTTTTGTTTTTCCCTTTAATACAGAAAGGATAGATATACATGTAGAGACTCATGTATGCATAGAACTTCTAAACAGTTTATGAGAACTGATTATATAATGCATGATGAAATGAACAACTACTTTGAAGAAAAAGAGACACTGTGGTACCCAGTGCTGATTCTGAAGCAATACTGTTATTCTTTGTTCAGAGTGATTTTAGTCTGTTTTGTTTAATTTCAACATATGTGAAGGTATGGAAAACTATTTTGAAGAGAATGAGAGACACTATCATAGCCATTGTTGACTTTCTTATTGTCTCGTCTTAAAGAACTAAAATGCCTTCATCATCCTGTTCGGATCAGTTTTATACTATGCTGTTTTGTATGAATTGACTGCTTGTGAAGATATAGACAGCTATTTGCCCTAAGGATATTTTTTTTCCTTTTTATCAGTACCAGGGATCAAACTCACTCCCACCTGCTTGCAAGGCAGGTACTTATGCCACTGAGCTAAATCCCCAGGCCCTAGACAGCTATTTGAAAGAAAATAAAAGACAATATGATAGATAGTGAAGATCTTCAGTTGTCTTGCTTTGAAATCTGTGTCTCTTACATTGTTTTCTTGTGTTCTGTTTTGTTCTGTTTAATTTTACCCTCTTTAAAATAAAAAAAAAAGAGATCCAATTTGACACAATTGTTCCCCCTTTTTAGCAGAAGAATTAAAAATCTTACACCGTAGAGAAGTTCTTTTCTCTGGAGAATGTAAAGAATTTCTATTATGCTATGAGTAAAAGATAACACAATAGAAAATATGTGCAAAATACTTGACTAGACAGTTCAACAATGACTTTGGATGACTGTTATGGATTAAGAACTGGTGGTCAACTTAACACCAGCTGGATTACACCAGCATGGTGCTAAGCATAGATGTTTCACCTGAGGAAAGTTACCAGCATAAATAGAGACATGGAGACAGAGAAGCTATTGTGTTAATGCATTGAGGCACTGTGGGTTCTCCTACATGTTTCAGTTTGAGCTGCTGGTTCTCCAGGAGAAGCTCTGGCCCTCACATCGAGAATTGCTTCCTGGCTCTGGAGGGGAAGACGTGTGCTGTTTAGTCTCCAGGATGAACTCATCATGCAGACTTCCTGGCATGAACTCGACTGTGCTTATTGTCAGAGGAGCTCGGGGCCTCTGTGTCACTGAGGATGGCTGTGCTGCTTTGCAGGATAGTCCTGGTCTTTGTTGTGAGTGTGACTTTTCGGCTCTAGCATAGAACCCTCAACCCACCAGCACAGCTCCTTCACCCTGCTGGCATAGGCTTCCTGGCTTCTACCACTGACCTTTGGGTCTTTATAGCACAAATCCATAAAAGAGACGGACATGAATCCTTCTTATGGGCTCTAGACCTCCAGCTGGACTCGTGGGAGGCATTGTCATGAGCTCTGGGTTTTCATCTGGACTCATGTGGGCCATCGCCATAGGATTCAGGCCCTTGACTAAATACTGTATCTTTGGTGTTGTGGATGGATTTCCTGAATTTTCTTATGTTAACTCCCAATGACTATCATAAAACAGTATTATAAACTCCATGTCCTGATTCTAATTGTTCTCTTCACAACCCCTGAGTACAACAAAGAGTAATTATTGGATGGAAGTTATTCACAATTGTAAAGACTAACATAGCCAAATGTTGAGTACGTGGAAGTATTCAAGTGCTACTGATGGGTATGTCAATTTGTATAATCCATATAGAAAACTGTCTGATGTTATCTATTGCACCGAAACAAAAATGATGTCCTAATATTTCACTCTTAGGTATGTATTCACCAGAACTGTGTGCACATATATACCAAAATTCACATAATTTAATGTTTACTGCAACTCTATTTGTATTAAATATTAGACTTGTAATAAATATTTGGACTTGGATCAAGTCCCAACTGGAATTACCCAAACAGTCATAAACATATATACAAAGTACATGTATAAATAAAAATATGATATATTCCAAAATGGAATATTACAATGACTTAAGAATTAGCAATATTTATTATATCCAGCAAAATGAAAGACTATCCCAAACATAATTTTTACTGGAAGCCGATAAACAGAAGAATAAATAACTTCTTTTCCACTTATATAGAGTACCCAAATCTCAAGTTCATAAAAGTGGAGCTAGAAGTCACCTTGTGTGGGGAAAAGCAAAGGTGAGCAGATTGAAAGATAGTACAATTGGGGGCTGGGGATTTAGCTCAGCGGCATAAGCACCAGCCTTGCAAGTGTGTGGTCATGAGTTCAATCCCTGGTACCAATAAAAAAGAAAAAGACAAAAAAAAAGAAAAAGAAAAGAAAGATAGTACGAAGTTTTCTGGGAGACAGGTCTTTAGGGATATGACCCACATATGGGTTACATGAATGTCTTAACCAGTATTCAGCAAATCACTCACCAATTTTCTTTCTATGCCTGTTGTACTTCATTGCAAAGTTTAAGATGACAGCATCTCAATTTCTTGAGCCAGTTACTTCCTACACATATACAAATAACTTTTAGAAGGTCAATTTCATGATTTCCCAAAAAAACAAGGTCTCTAATCAGCCAGTACGGGATATGTTCTTGGCAAAATTTGCTTACATTGTCTCAGTATGGGTTGTGGGAACATGCTCAAACTGAAGTTCTGTAAGTGATTTTTAAAAAACGTCCCTTATTTTCTGTTCTGTAGTTGATACAAAATAGGACTGAATAGTTTGAGCAATTGGTGAGTTTATGAAATCCAGAGGCTGACGCCAGCTGTTTCTCTGCACAAGCCACAGAATTTGAGCTTGTTCCAAAGAGAACATGCCTGGGTTTAAAAGAACAAATCAAAGAGCAGGGCAGGGAATTAGCATTCAGTGGGAGTGCAGTAGGAATCTGGATCAAATCTGGCACCGATGGGTTCCTGGTTTGATATTTCTGTTTATTTTGCAAGTTTCTGTTAGGAGGAGCATCTGGTAATCCCTTACTTCCCAAGTTATATTTCAACTTCCTTTAAAAGCAAGTATTTTTCTCCAGTAATCACAAGTTTGAGTGGAGAAAGAACTGGACAGTCAGAGCTCTCTTGCAAATATATGTGTGCCTAAAAGATCCAAAGCATGAGGCTGCAAGCAAAGATTATTTGGTTTATATTATGGGCTGCTTGTGTAGCACAAGGTAAGAACAGTAAGTGAGAAAGACTGTTTTTCCTCATAACTATATTATGAAGCATTTACTGATGTTTTTTTCACAGTGATCATTGTTTAAAAATGTAATTTAATTGTCACAGTAGGTTAGTATTTGAATAGTTTTTGACATTTGTAAGCATATAATTGGTCTATGTGAGTGGCATATCTGATTATTCATCATAATTTTGCTTCAAGTAAAATTCAAAAAATGTTGAGTAATATTTTTAAAAACTAAAATCTGGTGTAGTCATTTCTCTTATAGTTATTATAAAATACACTTTTTTGCTTAGAAGTTTCCCAAGAATGCTTTACGTAAAAATATTAACAACCACTTGTGACTTATTGCAATAGTCTTACAAGTCTTATATGCAAGAATTATTTGGGTTATTTAAAGATTAGAAAGATTATACAAATTTGAAACACAATTGAATGTACAGTATTTGTAACAGCCAGCTTCTTCAATTTGTTTCTTTTTCCTTGTGGTTATATATAATTTACACTTACAGATTGGTCTTTTGCATAAGTAATTGTTAATATTAGAGTTTTTCTCTGATATCAGTAAAACACACTCTGAATTTATAATTAAATTTAATTCTATGATATTTCTCAATAATTTAAAGTGTGTCACCAAAGGAAGTTTGCTACCCCAGCCCATGATAGGTAATTAGTTACTTAATTCATAACTATTTGATCCAAAATTTTTATTCCTAATGAATAGTAAATAATTTATAAATTCTGAAAAGTTTTTAATCAACAAACTTTTATTATTTATTTGTCATTCATTCATTTTGGTACGGGGCGCTGAACTGAGGAAGAGCTGAATTCTGCTTCTACCCTTTTAATTCCTGAGACTAAGCTGTTGCTGAACTGCCCAGGCTGGCCTCAGACTTTTAGCCTTCTCGTCTGTCTCCCAAACTGCTGGGATTACAGGCCTGTGGCAACTTCTGGGAAAAACAACAAAGTTTGTTTGTATAGGCCCTAAATAATAATATTAGCAAATATTACAAAATCCCCATCATAGATTGTCTTCCAAACTAGAAAATAAAGACAAGTATGTTTTTTGTTATATCCTTAAGTAATTTAAAAAATTATTTATGTCAAAGATTTTTGAAAGATTATGACTTTTTAAAGTTGTATTTTTAAATATTTAATGACTTGATTTTTACCATATAAGCCCAATATCCAGTCTCTTTTTAAACCAGGTTAACAACCACTTAATTGCACGTACAAACATAACTAGTTTTTAAAAACAAGACTTTATCATATTGGAAAGGAGTTCAAAATATTAACATTGCTAATCATAGCAAATAATTTTTCTTGAAATAGAAATTGAATATTTTCTTAGTTTAAGGGAATTCTTTTAATGTTTTACTATTTACACACTGTGTGCTGAAGTTTCATGCAGATATTATTTATCCTGTAAGGAAGATTATTGTATTACTGGAATTTCAAAATCAAGAATGGATGCCAACTTATATCAAACAGTTTGGTAATTACAGAGTAGAATCTGAAATATTATTAAATAAAACCCTAGGAATATATATGATAATCAAATAATAGTGATTTGAACTCCTTGCTTACATAACTGATTCCAGCTGGCTTGTTTCACTTGTTTTTTATTTTTTATTATTATGGGTTAAAAAGGTATATCAGTTTCTGCTGGTGAGTTGAGCAATAGTGTTATACATATGGCAGGGAAAATAACTACATATCTGCCTCTTTTCCTAACAGATAGAAGACAATTTTAGTATTTAAAATATTATCTAGTAACATAATATTCATAAAATCAACTTTAATTGGATATAGGACTCCTACTTGTTTGGCAGATAGCCCCTGAAACCAAATTAGCTTAAATGCCAACAATTTCATGTCTATGATACCTAACAGAAATTTACACAGCAGAATAACCTTGCTCACTGAAAACATAGGTGTATACTTTTATATTTACTTCTGATATTTCTCACATTGAACACTGACTACTAAGTTGAGAAACTGAAAAAATATGGATTCAGACATTATTAGAATTTGCTTTATTAAAAACTGGGTATAAAATGTAAGTGTTTGATAAATATTTTCTGTACCCATAACAGTGAACAGTCTTCAAAATATAGTATTACTGATAAAAAATAACAACAATCAATAGGAAAACAGATAAGCCCAGTTTTTAATTTGCTTTTCCTTTTTAGCATATTGAGACTATGTAGCTTTTGAAAGCATCACATTGTCTGCATTCAGATTCCTAGTTATATAGGAACATTAGTTGCTTTCTCTGGGGAAAATATCTTGGTTCTGGGACGAACTATAGGCTGCCAAGAATTGGGTCAGATTTACAGAACAAAATTTAAGTTTCTCAATCAAACTTTATATTTTCAGATTTTTATGACTAAGTAGACTTTTTAGATGCAGGGTTTAACAATTAAACCCTGTGTGATTTATTTATTTCATTTATGAGTATATAAACACAATCATTATGTAAAACAAAAACTCTAATTATGCGCCTACCACCTTGTTTTGTAGGCCTATATCGTCATTGTTTTGGGATCTTTGCTATTGTTATTTATTTGTCTTTTTTGTTTCATGTTTTTCTAGGAATTTGTTTTATTTTGTTTTGTTTTGTTTTTCTCTCTAGTGCATAAAGGATATATATACATGTAGAGACTCATATATGCATAGAACTCCTAAACAGTTTATGAGAATCAATTATATAATGCATGATGAAATGAACAGCTACTTTGAAGAAAAACAGACATTATGGTATCCATTGCTGATTTCATATTGTCATGCTGTGAAATCCAAAAATGCTATTATCCTTTGTTGAGAGTAGTTTTAGTCTGTTTTGTATTGTTTAATTTCAACATACATGAAGGTACAGCAATTTTGCATGCACTTTTTTTTTTTTAATATTTTACTGGTACCAGGGATCAAATTCATGACCACAGGCTTGCAAGGCAGGCACTTATGCCATTGAGCTAAATCCCCAGCCCTAGGTACAGCTATTTTGAAGAGAACGAGAGGCATTATGGCAACCATTATTGATTTCCCTATTGTCTGATTTTGAAGGCCTATAATGCCTTCATCACTCTGTTCTGATCAGTTTAATACTATTTTGTTTTGTATGAATTCATTGTGTGCGAAGATATGGTCAACTATTTAGAAGAAAACAAGAGACATTATGGTAGCCATTGTAGATTTCCTGTTGTCTTGCTTTGAAATCAGTGTCACTTAACACTATTTTCTTTTGATCTGCTTTGTTCTATTTCGTTATGTTCAGTTTTACCCTTTTTAAAATAAAAAAAAAATTTTAAAAACACTGTGTGAAATTAGGCTACAACCCAGTAATTGAAAGATGATTAAAATGAACAAACCAAAGAGTACTGAACTATGTCCTAGTAAATATTAACTATATACTTTGATAAGTCAATGCTTGTTTTCGAATCCTGAAGATTTAGGTAAAAATTGCTCTTTCAGGCCTGGAAAGATATTAGAGATCAAAGATTAAAGGATTTCTGGGTTGGGGGTTTAGCTCAGTGGCATAAGCACCTCCCTGCAAAGAACAAGGTGGTGAGTTCTAATCCCTGGCACAACACAAAAATTGAAGCATTTCATTTCAATCTGAAAAAGGACAATTTTTTCATATATTATATTCAAGTACAAGATGATTTTAAATTTGTGCTACTATAAAGTAGAAAACAATTAGTATTATATTATGAAACTAAATATAAATCATAAATATCTTTATCAAATATATTCTAATGTTCTGTATCATTATCAAAAAAAAACCAAGTGATAGCAGATATTATCCTAAATTCTGTATTTAATTTCAGAGTGATAAATGAAATCTTCCTCTCTTCTCCCTCAAACCCCTACATTTTCAAAGATAGTACTGTGGATATTTCCTTATATGGCAGGATTAGAACTATGCAACATCCTAATTGCCTTCAATATCTTCTCTCATCCTAAAATACTTTCCATGTTGATATTACCATAAATTTATGCAATACATAATTTGCATAGGATGACAAAAACTCTCAAGAAATATTATAAGATATTTAAATTTAGTATTATTCTTCATAATTTACTGTGAATTGTCGTCTCATAACTTCCCTGCAACAAGTTTAGTGGTGATAGTAGAAACAAATGAGTATGATGAGGGTAAGAATAGGACGCGTGAATTCTGGAAGATGAGGTATTTATCTGTGGACAGAGGAGACCTGATGCATGAAGCGGAATAGTGAGGAAAAAGTGGTCGAGAAACTTCCTGTAGGCATGTTCTGAGAGTGAGAGACAGGTTAAGGCAAGCCTTGCTTAGTGTAAAATTAAGTTTATCCAGGTAATGAATCTGGGGCTCCTTAGCTTGCATATAAACACAAGCTATTTTTAATATTAAAAACTAAAATTATTCTACAGTAAATCCCCACATAAAAGTTCTAAATAAGGTTAGCAAATATTCTTCGTTTTTGGTCTTTGGTTGTTAACGTCTGATTCTGACTCTAAATTGATCTGTTTTTATTGGCTCAGTCTCTGATGGTTTTGCAATTCTCATTCTTTCCAGTAATTCCCCCTCCACCTCTGCACACACACCACCTCCGTCTTGCCTAAGGCCTTTGAGATTCTGCCAACCAACCAATCTGTCCTGTGCTCCGTTAACCACTGTGTACCTCACCCATTTCTTCACTTTAATCAGTCTCCACACAGTGTGTGAGGTCACTGGAAAAAATGAGTGCTGTCTTTCCTTAAAATTACAAGGAAATATTATACAAATGGCCCAGAGAAAGTAAAATAACTAAACAGAAAAATAACAGCATGAGATATTAAAAGGAAAATAACATAAAGATCTGGCAAAGTATTTTTATTTGCTTTGACATTTTAACTTAGGAAGCCAAGTTTCTCATAAACCTTGTTAACTGGAAATATAATAGATAGAAAATTGATTACAGAAATATTCCTTCAAAGGTTACTGAAAGTGTATTTTTGGAGCTACTTTAAAAG